AAGAGATTTGTGAAAAAGGTTTTAAGATCACCCACAGTCCAGGCTGGAAGGAATTTGACTGGAAACTAAGAACAAGATTCTTTAAAACACCCTTTAATATATCAAAATATGACAGAAATGCTACAAATTTGTGTTGGAGGAACTGTAATCAGATTGGGGATCACACTCATATTTTTTTGGGACTGCCCAGTATTGATTCCATTCTGGCAGGGGGTTCAGACAGAAATTCAGAAAATATTTGGGTTCACATTGCCACTGAACCCAGTGCATTACATATTGGGTTTGAAACCAGGGGAAACTATTGGGAAAAGGAAAGTAAAATTGCTGCAGATTCTCCTACTGGTTGCAAGAAAAATGATAACTAGCCTGGCTCAAACCTTTGCCTCCCACTCTTAAACAATGGCAAGAAAGAGTGAAGAATGTATATATAATGGAAAGGACGACAGCACAACTACATGTAGAAACTGACATTTTTCTGAGTGTATGGACCCCAGCTATCTCCCACTTTGGATGGCCACAAAGATGAGGAGGCTGTGGGTTATAAAAAATTGGTGTTGATCCCCTTTATTGTATGTCTCTCCCTTTTGATGGAAGACATTGTATAGGTGCACCTCCCTTTCATGTGAGCCCATGAGGACCTATTTAAGAAATGTCAACTGCTGAAATTGATTTAAATGTTTACTGAGCCTTTTGTTTTGCTTTTCTTTTTCTTTTTTTTTTCTCTTCTTCTTTTCTGTTGTTCTATGTAAGTGCATGTATAGATAGACATGTGCATGTATGTTGGATTTACAATATTCTTAAATAAAGAATGTTAAAAAAAAAAAAAAAAACATCCTGATGCATGCTCAATAATCCAGGTAGAAAAATCTAAAAAAGTTAAATCTGAATTCTGTTTTTTTGAATGTCCAGGGGACCAGATTTAACTTTTTTAGGTTCTAATGAAAACATTTATGGATGAGTAAAAAGCTGCTTAGAAGTTTGATTTTTCTGTTATATTGAGAATTTACCAAAGCAGAGTAAATTAGCCATTTAATATTTTTATTAAGGTTATTAAAGTTCAACAGTAACTTGAAAGAAGGTCCACCCTTCTGTCGTGATTGGCTCGAACATCACATTGTAACGCCTCTAAGTCAAAGAAATTTATTTCTGACATTTGGCTTAGAGCAGTCTGGAAGAAGCTTTTGAAGAAGTAAGGTCAATCAATTGGATATTTATTGCCAGAAGATCTTTGCCACCAGGAGAAAATGCAGCCCTCTGGGAGCTCATCAACTGACCCCCCTCGGGAGCCAACTTTCCACTCTAGATTTCAGCTGATTTCCAGTGGTGAGGGAAATCCCACCTTCGGCGCTCTAACTCATCTCAAGAGTCCTGGTGACCCTCCGGGTGGTTAAATTGCAGACCACCTTCCAATTGGTAGGAAAAAGCTGCTCAGTTTTTCTGCTGGTGTCTGATGTCTCAGATAAGAAGTTGTCCAGTCTAAAAATTTCATCATTATTAATTAGAATTAAGTTTTCCTAAATTGACAAATCACATCTAGCCAAAACATTTCATTTAGCTAACTTTATAGATGAAAATTCACTCTGCTTTGTAACCTCATAATTCACCATATTAAAGTTTAAAAGATAACTCCATAACCTTGTGTTGTCAAAGTAAAGCCATCATCATTTTCCTGCTATTCTACGGTGGAACCAGACGTGTTCCCCCCCACCCACCCCCACCCGCTTCCCTGCTGCGCTCTTTTCTTCCTGTGAACCCTTAAAAAAGCCTCTTTTATTTTTTCCTACATACCTCTTAATTGGAAGGATCAGCTGGTCTCTCAACAAAATCGATCAACTTTTCCCGACAGGAGTCAGGGTAAGGAGGACACTCTTACTTCTAAGGAAACAAATTGGATTCATGATGACAACTAGATTCTACTGTTTGGGTTGGTGGAATCTGGTTGTCTACAAATTCGTGTGGAGGTGTTGAAGCTTGACAGTGCTCGGACTGAATGTGGGGCTGTGACAGGGATTTGGAGCAGCTGTATCAGGACTGTGATCTTCCTGGCAGCACTCATGAATGGTGGAATAATCTGGAGAAGCTGTGAGCTCAACTTTTGGAGTAAAGGATCAATTTGGCTGTTTTGGAGTTTCCATTAGAGAATATGTACCAGTGAGACTTTAAAGGCAGAAACAACAATTACGAGTTCTGCCTGACCCAAACTGTGGCCTTGGTGCCGGACTTATCTCAACTCCTCCTGAAATGTTTTGAAAACAACAAAGATGCTTTGACTGTTTCCTCACCCCTCCCTTCCCCAAGGCCGTGGACATGTAACAGAACCTCAACTGAGCTGAAGATGAACATCACCTCTTATCTGGACAATGGCTGAGGGGGGGGCTCTGAACTATGCTATGACTTTCCCTTAAAAATTCAATGTTTTCACCGGCCTATATGTAAATGTATAACGTCTGTTTATGTTGCTTTGCTGTGGTAGGTTTTTTTGATGCCTGAAATTGTGCCC